CTGTGTCACGTGTGTGCCACGTTCTCTTCACCGGTCGAGCCACGAAAGTCATACATTCATACTCTGTTCAGTTAACATTTGGTTGCCAACTCAACTTAGGCAAACACCAGGAAACACGCGGGTTTACTTTTGTGGCTGGGTTTCTGTAGTATGACTGGGATGCAACTATTTACATAACACTACTTGCCACTCGACCAAAACATTTTTCTCGCATTCATTAGCAATCACAGACAAACTACCCTGTTCTGGAAACAGCTTTGGTATTGGTGAAAAATCAGATGGATACAGGAATACTACATTGTTACGGATCGCATTAAATCACTTTGTTTTAGCTAGATATTCGTCTACAAATGATCGTTTTCTGACGTAGCTAGATTTTGAACACCGAATGGACTGAGTGTTCTCTTTTCGCTGGACAACATTAAAAAGGGGACAATTTTGACTAAACTTATCCACATTCAGAAATACGGATTAGATGATCCGTCATCATTCGCCATCTTCCAACTTACCAGGGATGGTGTTGGGACCTTGATCACCTTCCTTTGCGAATGTAATTCGAGTGCCTTCTCGCCATCCCGGCCGAACAGTCAAAGTGAGTACCTTATCACGAATGCTGCTGGTGTGGCCATCTTCGTTCATAATCTGATGTTGAAATAATAGATTAGGTACAAGAAATCGCAATCAATTGCTAACCCTTCCAATCAGATAGACTATAATTTGGTGTTGATATTTCCAGTATTAGTGACCTTGAATGTCTATGGTGTGCAAGATTCCACTCACGGACTAATGTCAACCTCGAATGCAGTAAGAAGACAACCAGTATTTCATTATATTGCGTAACGCACACTTACATAAGTGTAACCCCATTTGTTACATGAGAATAATGAAGGATTTGGTGCAATTTCAAAGAGAGAATTCGTCGTGTAAAGAGCAAGTGAAGTGTAAACTGAAAAGCTAAGAAGCACTGAACAGCTGTTTTGACCTGATTAAATCTCATCAGCCGTGCGAATCCATCGACCCAAGTGGGAATCGAACCCACTAACTCACAGGCAGAACGCAAGCACGCTACCCACTCGGCCCTACTTAAACGAGAATATTTTATCAAATCACAGGATTCGATCTCCAAAACAACTATTGTCAGCTATTCACAACCGGATATTCTGAAAACAAAGCTGCATGCAACCGACCTTGACAAAAATTGACAATTTGGGCAGTCTGGGGAATCTTAGGTAATTGTTTAGCTTCACGTCACCATCAAGCAAAGACAGTTGAACCAATTAACAACCATTTAAATACCAATGACGAAAAAATATTATATTCTTTTCGAACCATTTCAAAACCCAGTCACTTGATTTATGGTACATGCAAACAATTTATTCAACTTACCCTTCTTGATACTTTCATCTTTTTGATACAGCCATTATAGACTTCTTCTAAGTTTAGAAACATCTCCCGTTCAATTGGTGGATCTTGCTTCGGCTGACCGCGACCACCAGGGCCACCGAAATTACTACGAACTTGATAATCGATCTCTTCTTGAAACTCTATACGGGATGTAATTCGAGTGTGCTGAGAAACGTACGGTTGAAAGGATTATCCGTTCCGAAGAAGTTCATAAATGTCCTGTGTGGGTCCCCGTGATATACGTAAGGATGACTCCATTCATCCGGCAATGGTGCTCGCGTTTTAAGGCCTTCTTCACCGAACTGATCAAAAATGGCTCGTTTCTCGGGGTCTGATAAAACATCATATGCTTCAGAAATGGCCTCAAATTTTTCCTTGAACTCTTCTCCTGCTTTGGCGCGACATGGATGAAAGCGAAGAGCTAGTCTGCGATAACTTGATAGCAAACCAAAAAGAAATACACAGTCAAAACTGATTTAAAGTTGAACGATGTGAATTACGATCTTTTTTCATGCAGAATGTATTTCAAGTTTGGAACTTTGCTGTTTTGCACGCTAGTTATGACCTGGAGTTTTAATGTGAAAACCGCTATTAGTTGACCCAGGGGCTATAACCGGGTTGGTGAACTACTGGGAATTCACCCAGGAGAGTTGGCTAAAAACCCTGATTCCAAACCAGCCAATAAGCGAACAAACCACACTCACCCACAGCTTTCTGGTTGTGGCAGTCGTTCCTGGCCCGAGTGGGTATCGAAATATATTGGGTATCTTGGACGTTTGACCCAGTCCAAAGGGCGTATGATCCGACAAACTGAACACAGGCCTCCAATGGATTTCGGTTTTCACACACCGCCCCGATGTCTTGCGGGTCAGTCTTTGTCTAGCTGAAGGCTTTGCGCACCGTCTGGATTCAGACACGTGTGAAATACTTACAATACATACAGTTGACCCAGGAGTGAAAATACAAAGCTCAGTATGTTCCCAGATAGTCTCAGACAGAGTATACATTTGTCAATAGAATAAATAAAAAAGAATAGTAAATGGATTATTTTTATGTATCACAATAAAGAGATTATCGTCCCGTAATGCACAAAAACACGAAGCATGTCTATCTGATGATGCAGTCAGGTAGTAGTGCGTCATACACTACAGGGATTGCATTTTTTGCTTCAAAATTATTAACAACAGGAGAGTAATAAGGACGTCAGTTGCAGTTTATTCAACCATTGACCATGTGCTTTCGTGAGGCGGATTTGGTTTCTGTTCTTTGGCTATTTATTTTGATCAAGGTAAAACAATGTCTTTTTGAGGGCTTTCTCAAGGCTCAACTTTGAAATTTCCCTCTGATACCTATCATAAAGTTTGTCATAAACATTTTTAATTTCAGTTCATTTGTTTTGTCTTCATGATTTTACGATACTAAAAAATAACTTCAATCCTTTTATGCTCAGCATATTTCATGTACGTCTAAGCAAAACACTGCTTATTGACAAACCCCAATACGCATTCGCGTTGGAGTACAGTGCTCATTTATTTTCGCAGCGTTTGTTTGACAGCTACAGCAAACTCAGCACGTGCATGCAGTCAATTTTAAACGTTAGTCATTTTGTTTATCAGTATCTCACATATATAAATGCCCCTGTAGTTTACTCAAATACACATAAGCCCCATTTAGATAGGTATCAAATCGTACCGTGCACAAAACTACGCCGATTTTCTGAGTGCTGCGCCTTCCAGTCCTGGATCTTGAGATAGCTAGAACCTATGATTCGCTCAATCATCTCCAAATGCGCTCTGTGTAACATCTAACTACGGATTGAGGAGCTGGATAAATCAGAGGATATCATACAACATCCAGCTGCATAACTATGTGCGGTGTGCTTCGGCAGCATGTAATCAGACAGGAAAATCTATACAAACATACGCAAGTTATTTAGATTCACATCATCCTCAAACATAAAGTCTTTGTTACCCTTCTGATAGTTAGAGGCACACATTGGATGCATCTTCTACTCATAAGTTAGTATTCCATTAGCCTTGAATACAGCATATTTCAGTTGCCTAAATATCACCGTTATCATTCTATATTTGAAACTTAAATCAGCAGTGATCTACAAATAATGATGCATAAAAACGGAAGCAGCTGAAATTAAGAGTGCTTCTTTTGGGTTAGATAGAGGTCAAAAATTTAAGTTTTTATGAACAATCGTTGTTCCGTTGAGCACGTTACATCAAGGCAATCAACTGGTTACCAAGAGCAAAACAAGTACGCAAAGGTCGGTTTACCGGTTCCATGTGACATCAATCAGCAATCCGTCGTGGAATCGTGGCCTTAAGTAAAAAGTTCTAATGCTAATATTGAACAGATGTGAGGAGCTAATAGCGTCATTCTTTTTCCATCTCCATCAAGTTAGTGTTCTTTATTTTGTGTTATCAAGATCAATTTCAGTTGAGAAAAGCGATAATTTTCCCATCACTGGTAAAAGATGCTTTGGAGCTTCAGTGCAAAAGATTCCTTAGAGTAAAAAAGTGATTTTTTCAGAAGAGCCATTATCATTTCCGCCTAATGCTTACAGATTGCCCAAACTGATAATAGTGCAAATGGTAGATTGACAGTAAACTGATGGAAACGATATTTATTTTACATCTTCTATGATAGTGTTTTGCCGCACTTGTTCGTGTTCTGATATATATAATGAGATGTCCTCGATAATAACTCTAGTGCATTCAATTTTATGCACATTGATTCTATGAGACTTTGGCGTTTGTAAGCCTAACACATAACCTAAATATTTGATTAGGGGTGATGAAGAAAAAACATTGAATGTACTGATAATTATCTAGTGATCAATTTTAAAAAATATTGGTATCAGAATTCACAACATAAAATGTATAACGTACTAGTTGTGAATAACATACTTTTCATATAAAACTCAAGCATTTTTTATAGAACGGTTACCGAGAAATTGTATTTTTTTCACACATTCCGTCTTATAACGAAATACGACTCAACATCGGATTATTTTACAAGTACTTACGTAGGCCGCTTTATATTTATTAGATTTTGGTTTAACTAGTAATTGCTTACCCCAAACAAAGATCTTCCATACCTAATATTCGCCAATGAATTAGCGCATATCTTACAGTAGATAAAAAGGCTTTATAGCGTATTGAACCTTCAAACAAACCTTCAAAACAAGGATAGATTCCCTAATAAGAATTTCAGAGTCTTTAGGTGGATTCAAACATTTACAACAAATGACAAAATTCGTCGGAGAAACTCATACCATTAATTGTACATATATGTTAATCACTGTCAGATACCTTGCCAGGTAAGTTGGAAGCTTTTGTGGATAGTTTGACTGCTAATGTAGCCATGATTGGTATGCAATTTGCACCTTCAAAGTGTAAAATGTTGTTCCAAGATTGAGTTGGTCTAGCTTCCCTGACTGGGGAAGTAGTCGAGGAAGTAGAAAAATTTTGTTATCTGTGCATTTGTATCTCATCTGGCGGACGCATCACAGATGAAGTGTCGACGAGTATACAAAAGACTCGATTGGAATATGCCAACTTAAGACATCTGTGGAGCGTTGTGGTTGTCTGTGAAGGGTCGAGTATATGCTGCAGCAGTTCGGCCAGTTATGATCAACGGTTCAGAGACTTGACCATTACGGGAACAGGATAAAAATAGACTGTCGGTGTTCGAACACCGTCATCTATGTCGTATTTCATGAGTCTGGTGGGGTAACCGAACGAGCAATGTTGAGGTTAGGCGTAGAGTTTTGGATAATCGAGGTCGTCCACTGGAGCACGTGGTCGACATGTGATACACATGTTACCAGATAGGTTACTTCGGTGAACGATGTTTGCCAAGACAGGTATCGTTTGGAAAAATATCAAGGGAGGTCAAACAAACACCTAGCATGAGGGTATGAAAAACCTAACCAGGAGAAGGTTAAACAGTCACAATGGAAATCAATGATCAACAAGAATAACATTTTTTGATATTTTTGTGTGTCAGTTAATTGCTTTTTTACGGGGTGTGTGTTTTTACCAGATAAATTAAACAACATTTGCACTACTGACTTCTATTCTGGTCCCTATCTCTTAGCACTTCTAACCAGCGACAATCCTCCTCCCTGGGGCCCGAGCCTGAAAGGCGGGCTGCACCAACCAAAGCCAAAGCTGAAGCCAACTTCCTCATATTGTTCAAAGCAAGGGTAATGAACTGCAATCACGTGGCAGTGGTCTATCCACTTACATGAGCGCGTTTTCAGGGGTAACTCACCAAAGCTCATTTAAATAGCTGAGTTCATAAACAGATATTTGCTTACAAGCTAATTATATGAGCTATGGTTCTTACTGCAAGCCGTGCGATCGTGGTAATCAGAACTCAAACAGCTGTCACTTTCCTACGCAACGCCAGCTCGGTCCATGTGCCTACCTGAATGTATTGATAAAAACTACTTAATCGGCTATGGAGACCCACCCCCCATGAGGTTCAGCGATTGCTCCATATGGTAAGCTGACCGCAGTAACCCACGTAAATATGAGAGAAGGCAAAATGAAATGAAATTGAAGCACTGTACCTGTGTGTAAAATCGACTTGTATCGCGCGGTGCTTTGAATGTAAAAGAAGAAATTTGCGTGACATAAAACAAATGAAAAGTCAGAGTCGTAACACACTGAAAAGCATCCCATTAGAGTTTATCCTAATTACCAATTGGGAGGCATAATTTAAATAAAGGATGCCGCAATCACATTATAGGAAAGTATAATTAGTGTCTAAAGTATACAAGAAACATTCCAATAATGCAATTGTATGTTTTGTATGTTGTTTGTTCTGTTTATGAGGGAGGTGAATTAAAATCTAAAATTTATCATTCACTCTTAAAATTATAACTCAAGCTCTTCAAAATATATTTGAAACACTACTTTCCAGTGAAGATTTTGCCAAAATTGCACGCTATAGTGCAATTTTCCAACTCTAAACTTGAAGATTTTACTCTAGTAAATTCCCTAATGCATTAGAGAATTTACTGGGACCATCGTCCTAATGTTGGTTGTGAAAATTCTAAGAAAAAAATATTGTGTACATTCTGTCGACCTGAATTAAATACTATTGTCCTGTGTTTACGCAGGATGAAATTTCATCCTAGCATGACAGTCTCAGCTGAGCGTTCCTTGAGTATACTTTGATTAAATATATCCACGATTCCTCGTGAGTTCCTGATTTTCCGATGAAAGGATGCAAAATGGACCGAAAAATGTTTTCAACAGGAGCTTTTGGGTAAATTTATCAAAGGATTTAACTTTTATTACCGACCTTAAAAAAGCCACTTCCAGTAAACTTTCATTAAAATAAAAAAAAGGTCTATCATAAATAAATAACGTACATCTGCTCTAGTGTTTTAAATCTAGCTGATTGTCACTATATTAGCGAATAATGTTAATATATTTACATTAAGGTGAACCGATCTAAACATACTACATTAGCATATTTTGGGGGCAATAAATCTACAGCAAACAGAAAAGTAATAAAACTTACGCTTTACAAATATCAGCATGTGAAGCACTTCTTGGGACTTCTAAAAGATGATAATAATCGAGACCCATCGAAAAATTTGAAATTTGCGCCTTCAGTCGCTATGCTGATGAGCGTTTGAGAGTGCAACGAACTAGCGACTGAAAAATGTGAAAAGATGGAAGCCGAATGAACAAGAGCTGTCTCTCCAATACATGCGATATTATGTCTTCAGATATACCTTGATGGAATTTATTGAATCAAGCTATCTCCATACGGTTAGAGAATTTGCAGTGGTTCTTCATCCGACAGTTTAGCAAAGGCAGTTTTCTTTTCCTTTCTCTTGCTTTCCTCTTAGTTTTTTGGTAGATCCATTCAAACTGGACGTGATCATCAAATCACGATTCAGTGGCACCTTCATTCTACGCTGGTGACTAGCAGCAGGACAGGTTCAGTTTATAACCAGACATGCATACTTAAGGACTATCAGAACATGGCTGCATAACCATGGTATACTTATCAGAACCCTCAGGATTCACATATCAAGTAGCGATTTAGCCTCTCGATCAGTTAGATGAAACGAAACAGCTAGACTACCGTTATTCTTTTCTCTCTAACACAAGGACTCTTCTCTACCGGACATAACCGAATGTACCGTCGAGATTTAGTATGTATCGCCATTTTTTGGCGACAGCGATCTTCTAGAGGAAGTTGTTTCACCAGACATAGAGGCTTCGACACTTCCTGAATAAAGGTTTGCTTTGACTATTATCGCGCCTTTAATTAGCTCGTAAAAACCGCACCGTCACAATTCTCACGGCGAGTTCTGCATTGCACGCTTGCATTGATCAGATCTACTTTCAGGTTTCTGCTGCCGTTGTTTACATAACAGCTCAGGCCTAGCTAAATTTATTTCCACCATCTCCGCAGTTTCAGAACATATCATTGCTACCATCCCAATCTTGGGTTCTGTTTATTAGTGACAGGTGCTGACGAACATCAGCAACCGCCTGATCCCTCAAACTTCGAAGAACGCTTTGGTTAGATGTGGTGATCCAGACTTCCGTGACCGCAATCTATGCACAACAAAGTACAGTTTCATGTCAGTCAGTCACCATTCGGGAAGCTTAGCCAATGGTACATCGGGCGAACATGACATCCGAGTTAGTACACATTACGCGTCAACGCAAACGGATACGTGATTGGAGGACAGTTGTTGAATCAATCATGTGGCTTANATTTCATTCTATAAAACATGCTGTAATCCCAGAAATAAACCTAGGCATTTGCTGCTATCGATTCCTCCTGTATTTCATTGGTGTCCGCAGTTCGGAATGGAGCCAAACTAGTTCTGAGCAGTTTGTCACCGGTTCTTTTATTTCTAAATTCATTACTATTCCGATTACCACAATTTGGCGTCACGCAATGAAGATTACTGTCATTTAAACATTGAACCTTTACGGATGAGCATCGGAAATCGAAGAGACCGTAGAACGTTTTGAATTATCCGAAAAGGAGGAATGCAAAATCAATCGGTCCTATTTCTACGTCGGGCGGCCGAAAGCTCTAATCTTTAGTGGAGAATCTACGTTCCCCAATGTTCCCGTTTAGTTGCCGTTTGAGAAGTTGAAATCCCTGTTATTGGACCACATTTTTCCAGTGGATTTTCAGGCTACTGAACGGGTGAATTTCAACTCAGAGCTGCCCACATGCCGTGCTTTGAATTCATTTTCCAGTTGAATAAACAGGCATCAAAATGCAACAATGTGGTCGATTGGAAGAATAGCTTTGTGATCGTCTCGTTGTTGGAATCAACAACACTTCGTTACAACGTAAGATGTTGGAAAAGAAAGACATTGTGATTGCTAAGGCTCGAAAATTTGTGAGCAAAGTTATGATTTGTGTGCTGCCACAAATTAGGACACTACTGTTATTGCATCGCCAACCAACCAAGCCATTACATGATGCAACCAGTGTTCATAATTCACTCCCGGTTCCTCAAATAGCCATTTTAAGCCGAACACAACGGAAAGCTGGGACCAACGGCTGCTCTTCATGAGGTGAGTACTATCTTCGTTCGACTTGTAGGTTCCGCAATTTCACTTGTCATGCTTTGGTAAAATGGGCCATATCCGCAAGGTATGCGAATGCCCAGGTGCAAGCTCATCGTTTCCCATATCCTAACGGTAGATGAGAATTCCAGTCCAATCAATACGTTGCAGACTACTGAACCCAACAGCCAGTTCGAAGTCGTTCCACTGAGGTTTGAGTCTGGTGTGGAGCATCGATTCATCATGGACACAGTAAGCAGCGAAGCTATCCTACAGAAATCTGCACTCACTGCGGTTTATCTCAACGCTTTTCTAACCCCGACTTCAGAACGTATTCATGATGTAACCCGTCATCAGTTGCAATTTCTTGGTGAAACGTTACTGTGCGCTAACTCTGATTCCCATGTGTCAATCATGATCCGCTTCCTGGTATCAGCCCAAAGTCAGTCTGCCCTGGAGCAGTGCGTTACAGCTACCACGAACTAGTACTCATTGATTCCTACTCGAAATGGCCGGGAATATTCCTAACCAGC